TGGTTTATCACACTGAGTCGTTGTAACCTTGAGTTCACAGAAGGAGCTCTGCAAGGGAATAAGGTAAATAAATTGATGTTATGTAGAAAAATGAGCAGACCATTTGTAATAGGTGGCTAATTTCAGCATTAATTACTCCTTGGTAATTACCGAATGATTGCTGATTCTGTTTTGTACATGATATATGAAGTCCAAAAAGGTACATTAAAGAAGAGAATAAACATTCAAGAGCTAGAATTTAACAGAAAAAAGAAAAAGGAGGGAACGTGGCCAGCTCGGAGAATACAGAGAGTACAGAGGGGAGCAAGGGAAGCATCTGTGACTACAGCCGAAGATCCCAGCCCTTAGTGACTTCCTATTATCCATCATTTGTTAACTAAATCCATACACTGGTGAACGAAAACTTATATGAAAACATTCAAAAACAAAGCAAGACTCTTTCAGAAAAGTTTTAAATTTTAATAGGTTGGAATCAAATTTGCGTGAGCTTAGCCTGTATGCCATTAGTCTTATTTTTATAATTTCTTACCTTTTATACATCTGCATTCCTGGTCTACATAGTGAAGTGTAAGTTGGAACTGCATCCTGGGTTTTGAGTAGACCTTTGGTGCTAATTATCAGATTGCCAGGAACAACAGAGGGCAATCCCATATTTCCACATCCCCACCCTCACCTTTTTTCAGCTGTAATGCACAGATAGCCCATCAGAGGTGTGCTCCTGAAGGAGCAGAGCTGAGCAGCTGGCCTGTCCTTCCCCATCATGGGAGAGGCAGTGTCTTCAGTGGTTGAGAGCAAACTCTTTGGAATTGAATGTACCTGGATTTGAATTGCTCCAGAATAAATCACTGACTCTCTGAGCTTCTGTTTCCTCCCCTGTACAATGTCTGTGCAGTTGAGCTGTCGTGACACTCAAGTGCAGAAAGGCAAGGTGAATCCCAGGAGACCTCAGGAATGTTCCTGGATTACTGATGGCTCCTGCACGTTGAGCTCCCCGTTCTGGGAATACCGCTCCCAACGAAATGGGCACCAGCTTTTTGTAACATCCTACAGAGCTAATATTCCAGTGAAAGAGAACACAGTAAACAGGCATGTCAGAATCCAGTGTTCGATGAGTCTTCCAAAGAAGCTGAAGCAGGGTTCAGACAGGATGGCCTCTCTGAGCTGAAACCTGAATCACAAAAAGGAGCCATCCATGGATAACCTGGGTAAAGGGTGTTCCAGGCAGAGGGTACAGCAAATGCAAAGGCCCTAAGGCAGTAAATGAGCTTGGCATGTGAGAGGGGGAGAAAGAAGGCCAGTGAGCTGAGACAGTGAGCAGGGGGGGAAAGGGACAGAATGAGGTCCCCCAGGGAGGCGGGGGCCAATTGAGGAAGGGTCTTGAAGGTCAGGGTGTATTAGTTTGTTTCTGTTGCTTATAACAATATACCTAGAGCTGGATAACTTGCAAAGAAAACAAAATTTATTGCTTACAGTTTTGGAGGCTGGAAAGTCCAAAGTGCAGGGAACATTTATGGTGAGGGTGTTCTTTGGTGGTGATTTCAGTGATGCAGGGTCTCATATGGCAGAATGGCAGAGCACAGAGAGAGAGAAACTGTCACATGCTGTCCTTTTAAAGCTCTTGGAACCACACCTATGACCACCATTATTAATCCATTCATTAGGCATGGTCCTCAGAATCTAATCACCTCTTCAAGGCCCCACCTTTCAATTACAATAATAGGATTTTTCACCCTCAACAGTTACAATGGAAGCTTCAGTGAGTTTGGAGGACATTCAGCCCATTGCACAGGACAGCGCATTAGACATTTGGATTTTATTCTAGTTCTAAATAGAAACTATTGTAGGAATTTTCCCAGAGAGGTGATGATCTCTGCTCTTTGCTCTTAGCCCACCTCTGACCATTGCAAGGTGCCTAGACAAGGAGGAGAGGGATTTGTCAGAGACAATGGAGCCTTGGGGTAAGCTGGAGACAGTGGAGATGGGCAATGAGTTCCAGATTTGTTTTAGACATAGAGCCAGAAGATCATGCTGGTGGATTAGGTGTGGGGCGGGGTGAGGAAATGATGGATATCAAGGATAATTCTTGTGTTTTTGGCATAACTGGACAGTGATGCCATTTGTTGAGATGGGGGAAGACCAATCAGGAAGGAAAGGACATGGGGAGGGAAATCAGGAGTGGGCTTTGGATGAGTTCAGTCTGAGAATCCTGATAGTTGTCCCTTTGGGGGTGTCAGATATACAGTTGGCTATGGGGCTGTAGCTCTGGGAAGAAGTCAGCTTTTTGTAACTTTTCAGAACTTTGATTATGATGAACAAGACAAAGTGAGGATGATTTCTCAGCTCAATCCCCTTCCAAATGTGTGGTGGTTTTCTTTGCCATTTCCTCTCTTGTTAATGACCTGTGTCTCCATCCTCCTGCTTATATTCATCTCCTTTCTTCTCTTGACCCTGTTTTGGAAAACCCAAATCAGAGTTTTACTGTTGGCTTTGAGGATTAGATGTGAAAATACAGACAACCAAGGAAAACTCCTTAGAGATGTTGTCAAGTGTCCCTTGGCACTGGAGCCCAAACATAGGAATTGTCCAGTGCTGGGAAACACTCATCCATGTACCCTAAAGGTCCAAAACCGGCAAACCGTCACCTCCTCTTACCAATATACTAACACCCCTCTTAGCTCGTCCTCTCTGCCAAGCCCAAGTTTAGCCTACTAAAGAAGAAATGAAATATTTTCTTTCTCATTCAAGCACAGACTTCAGCCACTGTGCATGGAGACATGATAAGTATGGGTGGGGCATGTCCCCATCCTCCAGAAATCCTCTTTAAAACCTGTCTTTCCCACCATGCCTCTAGAGGGACCACTTGGGAGCCTTGCGAGAGCAGTATCCCAAATAGGTCTCCCTATTGTGATGCCTGACCTCTGAGGGGTGCATGTATGCCCTGCTCCTGGGTCTTAAACTACAATAGGTGCTCACAACATATTCTTTTGGGGCCCTGTTTCCTCTGGAATGGGTGAGGCTGGGGCCCTGGCCAGGAGGGTGGGGCAGGCAGGAGTGACAACGTATGTTAATTAGCACTTTGAAGAGCTGTCATCAAACCCAGAAGCCACATGGTCTCAACCAAATTCAAACCAGCTGACCTTTGTTTGGAAATACTCTGGGAGGGTCCCGACCCTTTCTGGACAACAGAAGGGCTGGTGTTTCCTTACTCCAAGCCCTTTTTTAGACACTGAGAGACTCTATAAATGCTGTAGCAAGTACTGCAATGGATTTGACTTCAGAGGCACACATACCCTCTCTGATTTGTTTGCTAGTAGGAGCTGGTATGAGCTTAGGGTCTTTATTTAGAGGCATGGGAAGGAAACATGAATCTGTGTTCATACAGTGTCCCCCTATTTAAAATCCTTCTATGACTATCTGCCTTTACGATAAAGTCTATATTCTTTCCCAAGTTCTGATGTGACAGTTTCGTTGCTCATCTCTCTGATCTTATACCACCCTGTCTCCCCCAATTGCTTAACTCCTGCCATTCTGAGCTATTTTAAGTTCCTAGAAGGGGTCTGATTGTCTTTGATCTTGGGCCTTTACTTACACTTCTTTATTGTTGGACACACTCTTTAATCCCTCTTCCTCTAGGTAACTGGTCCTCATTCTTCAGGTTTCAGCTGCACTGACCATTGCCCAGGGTATCCAAGTTTGATTGGCTGTCCCTGCTCTGTGCTTTAGCTTAATATTGATGGTACTATTCTGAGATTTGTCTGTTAAATTCAGATTTGCCAGGCCCCTGGAGGGGAGGAGTCTTGCTCAATTGTTAATCCTTGCTCCTCCAGTTCTAGGCATCAACGAAACCTTCCATAAATGCCTGAATGAAGGGCATCCTCCCAGGTATCTGGGCCTGTGTCAGTCCACCCTTTCCCTTCTAACATCTCCTAACCTAAGGTAAAGCCAGCAGGACCCCAAGCTGAAGAGAAACATAGCAGTGCCCTGAAACTCGAGACCAAAGTGATGTCCCCATCCACAAGACAATAGCATGTTGAGAACTTGTTCTGTTACTTAGAAACCATGTCTACCCAGCATATTCAAAAGGCAGGTCTGGTAACCACATCAGGGTTTGAGCTGGAATTTCAGCCTCAAACACACTAAGGGCAAATTCACGTAGACGTAAAAGGCACAGATCAAGAGACTTGTAAGTCTGGGTTTACCTTCTGTATTTGCCATTTGCTTGTGAGAACATGGGCAAAACATGTCCTCAGTCTGCTTCAGTCATCTTATCTTTAAAATGGGGACATGGGCTGGCCCTGTGGCGCACTCGGTAGAGTGCAGCGCTTGGGAGCGCGGCGGCGCTCCTGCCGAGAGTTCGGATCCCATATAGAGACCGGTCCGCTCACTGATTGAGCGCGGTGCGGGCGCGACACTGAGGGTTGCGATCCCGTTACCTGTCACGAAGAAAGACAAAAAGGAAAAAAATAAAATAAAATGGGGACAGTAATCCCCACTTCATCATGTTGTCAAGAATAAATGTGACAGAACTTATCAAATATTGAGCAAATTTTGTGGCACTTAGTAAGAACTCAAGAATTAATTATAACCATTATTGTTATAATTATAAAAATGGAATGGCCTTTAATTTTTATGGTTTGTAGCTTTCCCCTTGGAAATAAACTCGCTAAAGTGAAAAAAGAAAGGTTACAAAATGGCATGTTGAGAGGACTCCCATTTCTTCTGGGGAAGATAAGTGTATATATATATATATATAGTCTGGGAGGATAAAAGGGAACTTCCTCTGGGAGGTGGGTTTATGGTTGGTTTTAATTTTATTCCTTTTTTTCTAACACGGACATATTACTCATGAAATGGGTGGTAGTGGAGAGGAGGTCTAGAGTCTAAAAAGGAAAAAAAGAAAGAAAGAAGCTAGAGAGCAAGAAGGCATGGTATAGGTATGCTCCCAAATTACAGGTCTTTCTGTCTGTTACTAACCTGCGTCCTCCCTTGGGTTTTGGCAGGATTTTTCACCCAGATCTCCACCTTGGCTGATGTGCAGGAAAATGTAATGGAATACCTCCATGTGCTCAGCCGGCCCAAAGTCATTGACCAGGAGCATGATGTAGTGTGGACTGAAGCTTACATCGACAGCACCGTGAGTCCATGGGCCCCCTGGGAAGGAGGCTCATCCCGCAACGTGGGAGTTTCCCTGTGTTAACACCAGAACAGTATCGTATCACTCTTCCTCATTTATGGGATTCAATGACATTTTCGTTGGTTGTATGTACACTTTGTGTTGGTCACTTGACAAGCAAGGTTAATGAAAAATCATAATGCAGAGAATGTGACATGCACTTCTGGAAGGTGTCTGGTCAGCACAGAAAACTCACTTTTTGCTTATGTCTTCTCTAGTTCCTTTTTTTCCCCCTTTCCACATGTGTTCAAATTCTGTCAGTGTAGCAAAGATTATAAACATGTTCTTAGATTCAGTCCTCGCCACGTGGGAGGTCCAGGTCTGGTGATGAATTCTGAATCTCAACTGGGAAAGTGACCAAGGCTCAGCTCTAATAATGAATTGGAGCCACTGTGGAGGCGGCGGTCGCGTTTTCTTTCCATGGACAAGTGAGAATATGCTTGAATGGTGGTTCTGTAGGCACTGGATTGTTGTTTGAACTGTGGCCATGGGCTCATTCTAGAGCTGAATTCCAGGCAGGAGACTCTGATGCTGAATTAGCTTAAAAGGCGGGGCTTCGCCAATCATCAAGTAATGGCTCAACGGCGCTGGGTTTCTTGTGTAATTTCACGGTGATTTTTCATAGTGATAATGAGCCTGATGGGAGTGGTGTTTTTCATTTATTGATTGTAAATGTTCTCACAGGGTCTCTCTCCCATCATTTTTTGGGGGGATTAGCATCCCATTAATCACTGTAACCCAGACACAACTGTCCTCGGGAGTGATCTCACTAGCTGCCATGGGCCGGCTTTTCTCTCCCAGGGCTCTCATTCCTGCTGTGTTTCTGGCAGCTTCAGGCAAATGTAGGGCAAGAACAGCACATGGGAACCCATTTTGGGGGGCATCGTGTCACAGGCCAGGCCACAACAGCTTGCTCCTGCCTCAGCCTTAAAGTACACAGGGGGACATAGAAATATGAATGTATCTCCTGGTCACAAAGGGATACTCCTTTCCAGGAAAAGTCATCTAGAATAATGATGGATATGGAGTTGAAAAACCCTCTCTGATTGCGGGGAAGACCCTGAGCTTTTATTGGTTTTACAGTCTGACCCCAGTTTGGTTTTGATTCATGGAAACAAAATAACTCAGCTGCCCTATTTACATTGGCACTGCATTAACAATAATAGCAATAGCAGCAATGGTGGTAGCTTCATCCCCGCTTCTTATATGTGGTTGAGGAAGGTAGGAAAAACAGGAGCGATGAGGAGGAATGTGGCTAGCTGGTGTTGAGGTGACCAAGTCATCCAGTGGTTTTGTGTACAACCCTTACATAGCCAGAGTGATCAGCCATTTTATTTGTTTCATCAATATGAAAAATATAGCACAGAGACTCTATAATTAAGACATTATGGTACTAGCCCCTGGATACACAGAGATCAGAAGAACAGAAGGTCCAAACACAGATCCAAGTACATATGGGGATTTAGTATATGACAAAGGTGGCATCTCTGATCGGTGGGGCTAGGATAGGCTTTGGAATAATGCTTTTGTGAAAACTAGATAGCCATTTAGAAAAAAATAAAATTAGTTCTAGTCTTCACATCATACCCAAGAAAGAAATACAATTGGATCAGAGATCTAAACAGTAAAAAATGAAACCAAACAAGCACTAGAAAAAAAACCTGAGTGAATTCCTCTATGACCTGGATTTAAGGAAAGGCTTTCAAACAGTAATTGCAGAATCCAGAGGCAATAAAGAGAAAGATAAAGTTTGACTACTTAAAATAATAACAAACCACAAAACAACTTTTGCATGTCAAAAAACACAATAAGCAAAGTGAAAAGGTAAATGATAAAATGGGAGAAAATGTTTGCAACATATAGTACATAAAGAATTAGTAATCCTAATATATAAAGAACTTTCAAAAATTGAGGGAAAACCCCAAAATTCCTATAGAAAAAATGAATAAAACACATGATCATACAATTCACAAAAAATAATGAAAATGTTTTTTATACATATGGAAAGATGTATAACTTCACTCGTGATAAAATTGCAAATTAAACTAGAGCAAGATACCATTTTTCACCCATCAGTGGTAAAAATTAAAAGTGTAATTGTACACTCTGTTGGTGAGGCTGTGGGAAAAGGGACAGACACTCTCGTATATGAATACTGCTTACAGGAATGCAAAATAGAGCGATCCCTATGAAGGGGAATTTGCATTTACCCTTTGACCCAGCAATTACACTTCTAGCTATTAACCTTGAGGATGAGCCTCTAACAATACAAAAATATATATGCACGTTTGTTTATTGCAGAATTGCTTATGACTTCAAAATATTAGAGTTATCTAGATGCTCGAACGTAAGAGATTGTTCAGATAAGCTATGGTATATACTCATACTCTAATGGAGTCAATATTAAAAACAAGAATGAGGATGATATCTGCTTGTTGATATGGAATGATTGTCAGGATATACTTGCTAATAAGTAAAATGAACAAAATGCAAGAATATATATAGCATGCTATGTTTTGTGTAAGAAAGAAGAGTGAACAGGAAGATATATATATGTGTGTATCTGTTTATTTTTACAAAAAGAAACAGAATAAGTCAGAAGCAATTGAATTGGTGACATATAAGATGCGGGTGGGGGTACAGGGGAGAAGGGATTGGGGAGGAAGTGACATCTCTATTCCTTTTTGCATACTTTTGACTTCTGAAAGCATGTTAATATTCTGTGTATTCAAAAATTAAGATTAAATCAGCAAGAATAGGAGAAAAACTAAAAGTGAATGCAAACAGAGCCAAACAAATCCAACTAAATTTCAAATGAATGACAAAATTACCCAGAAAGAGAGAAAAAGAAAGAACTAACCTTTGATATAGTAGTACTATACAATAGTAAATTTTGAACACAATAAAAGGGTACTTCAAAAAGTTCATGGAAAGATTTATATTGTCTTTTAGTTCTGTTTTTCCATGAACCTTTTGAAGTACCCTTGTGCTTCCACTATCTACGGTTAAATCGACGTAGGAAAAATAGAACTGCAGGTACATTTTAAACTCCTTTTGATGTCATTTGTAATAATATGGATGCAGCAATTCCGAATCTATTTTGTGAAAATGTTGGGATTGAACAAATGTGTAAAATGAGTGAAGACAAGGCAGATATCTATGGGATTAGACTGGATTGAAAGTATCAGAATGAAATCCCAACTCTGTCCTTTGGAAGGGCCTAGAAGCAATGGCACCCAAGCAGCAATGAACCCATCCAGTACCCAGATCCTGGCTTCTAGAAACCACTCCCCACTAAAAGGAACCAGGGAAGAGAAATTGCTAATTCCAGGGCTGGGGCAGGAAAGGAACCCCACCCCCACCCCCCCCAAAATCCTGGAATATTTTGTGCCAGAAACTAAGGAAGTGCTCAAAACAATAATGCAGTTATGTCAAAAGGACACAGGAATCAGTAGAGGGGGCTGTCATCAGTCAAGTCTGGGACAGTTTGAGCCTCAAAATGAAGAATGACAGTAATGGATCATAATCTGTTGAATAAAACAGAAATCCACATGTCCTTACTGATAATAAATAGATAAGCAAATCTCAAACAGATGAACTAACATTTGATTTGGTAGTAATTAATACACAATATTAAAACCTACCTAAACATACATAGATATGTTTATGTATATAGGGGCAGTTCAAAGAGCAGGAGAACCAATGGGTTCTCCTCATACTTTTCCACTAAAGAACTCTTGAGAGCAGAAGCAAGGTGGATAGATCTGGGAATGCAGTTGCACAGGAAATGTCTCTGAAGTCTTATGCCTTATCTTAAACACTTATATGAAATTTACATTCTGTACCATAGTCATCTTTGCTTACTTTTAAATAAAATAATGATTCAAGTGACTCAGTAGTGAGTAAAATTGGTATGCTGAAATGATGAGGCTCATTTATTCCACCTCTTCAAGAACCCTTTCAGGTACATAAAACTAAACCCCCACAATCTGGCTATCCCTGCAGTGATAGCTCAGCATTGTCACTGTGCTTTCCAAGCTTCTGTTGTTGTATCTTTGCAAATAGTCCTGATAATTAAATCCCCTGGTAGAATGTTCTGAGGAACCTGTTGGGCCAATGAGGACATTGGGGATTCCATCCTCCTCCTTACTAGGCCTGTTGGGTGAGGAGAAGGCAGCTGTGCTCCAACAGGCACCTCTGACCAGAGAGCAGCAACAGTCTCTTCAAACGTCTTATTTGGGCCTGGATTCTGCCAGGGCAAGGACGAAACCCACTGTCATTTGTATGGGGTCAAAATAGGACTCCCATGCTGAACTCATCTGTAGAATCTAAATTCTGAGATGAGCCCACCATCTTTGGAACCACCCAGAAGATGAAGAGGAGGTCTGCAATTTTATTTATTTATTTTATTTATTTATTTATTTATTTTCCTTTTTGTCTTTTTTCGTGTCCGGCAACGGATCGCAACCCTCAGTGTCGCGCCCGTACTGGACCGGGACCGGCAATGGGATCGCAACCCTCGGTGTTGCTCCCACACCTCACTCAGCCAGTGAGTGGGAACTGGTCTGTATGTGGGATTCGAACCCTTGGCGGGAGCGCCACCATGCTCCCAAGCGGCGCACTGTAGCAGTGCGCCACCGGGCAGGCCCCGAGGTCTGCAATTTTAAATTTATGACTGTCCTGACACATCCAGGACAGCCCCAAGCCAGCATTTTCCTAATGTGACCCACTTGGCATTGGGACTGGGGATTGACCCCATTTTAATAACCTGATGTTCTAATGGGGTTGGTAGCTCTTGATTTTTTTTTTCTATATTTATACATATTATAGTCTACCTTAGTTTATTAGCTGAGGGTATTGAATTTAGAGTTAGAACAACTGCCTAGGTTTGAATTGCATGTCTATTCTGTACTAGCTCTGTGAACTTAAGCAAGTTACTTAGCCTCTTTGATATTCTTTTC